TTATTTTGATATATCACAGTGAAAGATTTATCGTCCTCTTTTGTAAAAAAAAGCCCTTTCTAAAAAAAAAAAAAAAAAAAAAAAAAAAAAAAAAAAAGAAAAGAAAAGAAAAAGAAAAAGAAAAGGAAAAAGAAAAATCCCAGGCCGTTAATACACAACATTTACAAGCCAGTGTACAAGAGTTAGTGTATCCACTCTGGCACATTCCAAACACAGGTACGTCAAGGAATTTAAAGAAAGGCCTGTGCTCCCATGAGACACAAATTTTGGAGGGGTGAGGGTCTTTCTAAAAAAGGAAATAGGAAAGAGGCTCTTCTCTTGATCATGGGGGAAGAAGAAACTGGAGATGGAGTAGAGGTGGCCTAGCACCACCTTTGCAAGCCCCTTGAAAAAAAGAGGTGAAGGATCAGAGGTCAGTGGGAAAGCTGGTAGCAGGGGCGGAGGTGGGGCTCGGACTCAGTTTTTGGATAGTAGAAGTGATAATGGCTTTTTGCTCTTAATTAGACCCTGGTGGAGAGAGGCCAAGACAGCATCCACCTTTATTACTGATACTTGCCTTCTGAGATGCTGGCGTGACCAGCCAACTGAAACTAAGGAGTCATGGGATCAAATTTAGGGAATCTACTGTGGAAAATGTCTATTATCAACTGGAGCAATTTTCTCCTACTGCTTTTTTGGAAGGATTGAAAGCCCCTCAGCCCAGCAGCCCAGCCATCTTGGGTGTGCCATCTCAATGATGGGCAGAATACTGACTGGGAGGAGCAAGTCAGAGTCCTTGACTTTGGGTAAGACTGACCTTGTTTGCTGCCAAGGTTAACAACGAACAGATCGTTTGAATAAACTACTGCATTTGTCAAACTGACATCTGTGTATCTTTGTTCCTCCAATGGATTTGGCAAACTAGGACAAAGAAAAACTGATTGAAAATCAGGTTGAAACAGTTCCAAGTTACTTCCTACCCCTCAGAGGAGCAGGTGACATATTCCATACCTGTAATCGTCATCATGTGGGGAGGATAAAGTGAAAAGATTGCCATGAGTTCAAGGCCAGGCTGGGCTACAGAGTGAATTCCTTAGTAAAAAGCAGAACACCAATTCTAAAAGGATGACACAGGTAGAAATAAAGAGCTACTAATGTTATGGGAAAGCAACTGGATGCCTTACCCACACCTAGCCAGAGAGCTAGGGAACAGCAGGGTGGATAGTGGCTAGTCTCTCACTGTTCTTTTCCTCATAATAGTACCACTTGTTCATCACACCACCTACATAGAGTATTCCATAAAGGGGCTCGAGGGGCCTGTGGAAACAAGGGGAAACCAGCTAAACACGGGTGAATTCATGGGAAGAACCATGGCCTAGGCCACCAAGGGTTCTTCGCAGTCAACAATGGTACCTCCTACCATTCCTGACACTGAGTACCGTCTATGAGACAGGTCCTGTGCCTGGGAGATGAATCAGACCCTACTCCCCAGTCCGCTCAGGAACTGAAAGTCTAAAGGAGAGACCAGTAATGAATAACCTAAAATGGGGCAAAGGGTACCCAGAGTGAGTTATAAGGGACTGTACAAGCAAAGTAGAGAGTTCAGGAGGTAGTGTGCAGAGAAGCTAACATTAGAATGGGGCCTCAGGATAGAGAGGAAGAGGGAGGGGCTGAGAAAACAAGATAAGGAAGCAGGCCATGGCCTGGCCTGACACTGAATTGTAATAGGATTCAAGCACTGGGTCTTTACACATGGTTCTTCTGCAAGGTGGGAACAAGGAAAAGAAGCCGAATGTGATACATTTGCAGGCCCCAGGGCTGGGGTGCCACACTATGGAGCCTGGGCTCTAACCTCTAGGGTCAGAGGTCAGGTAGTGTAGTCAGATCAGCACGGAGAAAACTCTTTAGGAAGAAGAGACTAGAGCATGGATGAGCTACAGGCCCAGATGCAGTAGCTCAGGGGAAAGATGGCAATGGCCTTGGTTGGCCTATAGCTTTCTTCTTGAAAAGAAAGATGGCTAGAGTTAGAGACCAACTACCCTCAACCTTCTCTTGAATTCCTCACGCCCAGTTCCAGGTTACTACCAGGACTTTTTAGCTCAGTTCTGAGGTTGCCCAGGGTCAAGTCTTCAGCAGAGGAAGGAAGGGAAAGTTACCCTCACTCCTCTGCTTCAGTCAGCTGTACGTTTCATCATGTTCTTTTGCTTTCCGCATCATCTCAGACTTTCCTTCCTCTTTTCTTCTTAATTTTAAGTGGTGTGTGTGTGTGTGTTTTGTATATGTGTATGTGATGGATGGATGTGGTATATATGTATATGTGCATATGGTCATGAATGTATGACTGCATGTGAGCAGAGGGCAGAGGAGGCTCTGGGGTATTCTATCAGGATTCTACTACTTTATTCCCTTGAGACAAGGTCTCTCTCTCTCTCTCTCTCTCTCTCTCTCTCTCTCTCTCTCACTGAATCTGGAGCTCAACATTTTTCAGCTAGGCTCGCTGACCAGGGAGCTTACACAAATTTCCCGTCTCCGTCTTACCATTGCTGGGGTTACAGAACATGTGGCTAAGCCTGGCTTTTATGTGGGTGGTAGAGATCCAAACTTAGGTCTTCGTGTTTGCACAGCAAGTACTCTTATCCACTGGTGCATCCTCTGAGATCTCTATTCTAAGAGTGGGATCCTCAGGCCATGGTCTCCCCAATAATCCTAGCACTGCCAAGATGCAGTAGAGCCCACAGAAGTAGTATCTAATAGTACTGGTTTCAAATTCTACCTCCCCACTTATTTGTGAGCCTCAGTTGACTCAGTTTCTCACATTAAGTAGGAACCATGTTGCCAGGGAACTCCCTAAACATCCAGAGGGGTTGTTAAGGGAACGTGTGAAGAGGCATTATGCACTGGTCCTGGCACATGGCTGTACCATTTCTTTGTAGATAGAGAACCTGGAGAAACAAGTGAGAAAAAGACTTTCCCAAGCTAGATATTTTCTAGCCTAGGACTGCAAGGTACTGCCTCCTTCACAGCCTGGAAGTGCAACACCTGGCCAGTGAGGAAGAATCCACATGCCCTGGCTGCTGCTATGGTGGGCTGCATCAGCAAAAGGCAGAGGACCTTGGATAAAAGAGCTGGTTGTTCTCATTGGACAGTGTTATCTTACTCATTCCTTCCCTAACCGGCAATCTGACCCTGAATGAGGTTCTGCTAGGTTGAAGGACATTTGTGGGCTATGGCCATAAGTCAACATATTTCAAAGTGGATAGACAGGTTCATATATGTGTTCATGTGGGTGTATAGGGGTACAGTCACCCACTTGTGTGTGTGGCAGCCAGAAGTCAATGTTGGGCATCTTCCGCTAGCAACCCCCACCATAATCTTTTCTGAGCCAGGATCTGTCATTGAATCTAGAGCTTGCTGACTGGCCAGAGTGGCTGGCTAGTGAGCCCCTGAAATCTGTCTGGCTCTACCCGCAAGCCGTGGGGTTAGAAGTACATGCTGACACGCCTGCGTTTAAGTGTGTACTGGCGATTCAAACCCAGGTGTGCATGCTTGTACAAGTATTTTGTCCACTGAGCCATCTCCCTATCCTCAGTTACCTTGAGGATACATCATTGTTACATGAGTTATATCATTGACCCTGGTCATCGGGCCCAGCATACCACAAAGTTCATAGAAGTAAGCAAATGTTCCCAGCAGTTAATCTCTGCTTAGAACAAATGTCCTACTAGGCCCTAGGAGCCTTGGTGGCAGTAGGCAGTGCGTGGGAAATCAAGACCAAGTCACTGCTCTGCCCCTAGGGGCCAAGCTGTGCTCAGAGCCCAGCTTCCCAGGAGCGGAGCAGTCCTCCATGACACACAAGGCCAACAATTGACTCCTTTTATCTACTTTGCAAAGCCTTCTGAAAGGGTTCTGAGAAGCAAGGCCAGGATGCCTGAGTTCTCATAAATCTTTTAATAACAGTAAACGAAGAAAACATTGTAACAATAAGTCCCATGGGGAGAGGGTTCCTTTTCATTCCAGGATCTTCAACAGCAGAAACACCTGAGACTAAGATTCAGAATGCTAAGTACACAAATTAAGGACCATTTATTTCCAAGGGTGGCTTCAGAAACCACTTCGGTACAAGCAAAAGGATTTTTACAAAACAGAGAAATCACATTATAAAACATCCAAAGAGGTAAGCAAACTGGGAATAGGGGTGGGCAGAGAGTGCCCCAGAAGCAGCCTGACAAAGAGGCTCACCCTGCTGCTGTCTAGGGGTTACAAAGACTGGTTCTCAAGGGAGTCCTGTACACGAGGGTGCCAGTACAGGATAGTCCCAGCTTGGGAAGGCAGAAGCATGGGGGCATCCCAGCAGAAATAATTATACATCAGCTGATCCTGTTCTCGTCACTACAATTACACCAACATAAATGAAGAATTATTTTAAATCAATCCCATTGACACAAAAATAAATCAAGACTTTCCCAGACACCATCTCTTCTTAAACTGACTTTCCTTTTTGTTTTGTTTTCCACTGGATGGGAGACATCTGTGTAGTGCCCAAAGTAGTAAACCAATGTATGAAAGTGTCACAGACAAGGGCAACAGCAAGTGACTTGGTTTCCTGAGCACAAATGGGCTCACTGTATATACAGGCAGACTGACTCCTCTCATAGACTCCTACCTCAGAGAAGGCAGGGTCAGGAAGAGACAGGAGGCCTTTTCTCAGGCTAGGCCCTTGCCAAGTTGCATGTGAGACCTGTTCTTGGCGCACCAAAACCAGCAGCAGTCTTATATACAGTGTCACATGGCCCTTTTTTTCTCTTCCCAGGCCTCCCTTACAGTAGAAATCATTAAGAAACTCTTCCTCTTATAGCGGACAGGTAATGGTAGACCAATGTCCACATTTCCAGGGAAATCTTTTTGGCAGATATAGGGGTAGAAAGGGGCCTCAGTCCTCTCTAGAACACAATTCAACATGTCCCAGGGCACTGCCCAACCTCAGTTCTACTTGAAGAAGACTTTCTGCCACATTGTGTTATCTGTGAGAAGCTTGTGACCACATCACAAAACACTGATTCATCCATGGTCACACATAGCAAAACTCTGACAGAGGCTACAGCAAAAGGGATGATCTGACAGGCTGAGGTACCATAGAGTAAAGTGCAGATGTCCCCACTTAGCCCAGTGACCCTAGAAAAAGCTCCTGCAAGTACAAAGGAGTCCACAGAGAGACAGAAGATGGACTTGGAGAGATGAAGGCAGGGGTTCCAGGATCCCACAGTCTGTCACAGGATGACAGAATAGCATGTCACTAGGCCTCTGAGAGGATGGTGGGCTTGGTCTTAGGTATATAAAACCAAATATGGGGAACAAGGAAGACCTTTAAGTAGGGATGATTGTCTAACTCAGCGTGGCTGCCACAAGTTGTCCAACTTGACTAAGGCTGCCTGAGCATGTGAGGAATCACTCTTCTCCCTTGCTGGAACTGTTTGAAAGAAATTGAGTACTCTTGCTCAAGCACAGAGCTCACACATGCTGGTAGATGACATGGAAATGTGGCCAGGGTAGCTAGGGAACAGCCTTGATATAGACAAGAAAGATCTGAGGAAGATTTGGGAAGTCAGGGGAAACTGTCTTTTCCCTCATTCCCCGTGCCAGAGGCAGTAGAGGGCCAGCTATTGGCATACATGGGGGTCAACCCCAAGGCAGAGTGCTAATGGTCTGAACAGGTTACCTCTCTCCACATGGGCCTGACCCAAGATAAGAGTGAGAGATAGGTAGTGGAGAGGCCTGCTGCTTAGCAATACCTCAAACCCAGGCCAGAACTCCCCAAGGAGTCTATGGAAGGGGCCCACTATGTTTTTCTTTTTTGCCATTAGTCCCTTGCATTTCCCCCTCACTTCCTCCTTCCACTGACAGACGTGTCTGGCTTTGGCTTGGCTATGCCAAACAATATGACTTTTAATTTCTTCTTTCCTTCTGAGCACCAGAAAGTACCTGCCAGAAATGATGGGCTGAGCCAGTGCCAGGGCAGAGGCAAGCTAATGGAGGCATGCCAATGCATGAAAAGCCCAAGGTGCCTGGCAATCTGGTCCATGCTGCCAAGATTAGGATAAAGGGAGTGCAGCATTCTAACCACTGTGGCATTCCGGAGCTGATACCCTCATTTGCGGCCCTGTATTTCTGCAGGTAGCCACTCCATGCTGCGGCATGCGCCAGGTTGAGCCCCAGGGACTGCTCCTAGCTAGGATTTCTTTGCACTCTCTCCTTTTATAAACAGTATCTTTCAATGAAAGCTCCTCCTTTCAAAACACTGTAACCTCCACCTATGGGGTGGTTAGCTCCCTTTGGACTTACACATGGGCTTTGGAGGTGAGCCAACTACAACATGTGATGCTCCCCTACACAGTATGATTCAGCACCAAGTCTGGCTGCACCAAAGAAATCTGAGCCTAGAGTGACCGCCAGCAGGACCTACGAACATGCCCTCTGAGTGCCAGCAGTAGATCTGCAGGACCTTCTGGAACACAAGGCTTCCCTCAATTCAAACAACCAAAACAAAGAGCCAAACAGTCCAGGGCCCCAACTCCAGCTCACTCTTACATGGAGCTGCCCCAGACAAAGAGAAACAGATAAACACACAGAGACAATGAGGATGGTTCAAGAGGCACCTGAGGCTAGAATGGTGCCTATTATCCACATGAGCATGGACCTTGATTCAAGTCACAGCTTTCTCAAGCTACCACTTGCCTTAATTGATTTAATTTCTATGCCCACTTCGGAATGAGAAACAGATCTGTTCTCAGTTTTCATGGGCAGGTTTTTCAGGGTCCTGCCTGGTACTGTGTACATCTTCATCCTCCTTACATCAAATTCACTGTTCCAACGGATCTCTAACCCCTTCTACAAAATTTTGCCCATGGACTGCATGGTGCTGTCACCCTCTACCTGAGGCAGCACCCTGAAAGGAGTGACTAGGTAGCTCCCTGCTTTGAGTCACAGGACACTAATGGGAAGAATCTGGACAGTTCTATTTTGGCTGTGAGCTGGGAAATCCCTTGGCTCTGGGATTGCCGCTGGTATAGGAACAAGGCCTCGGTCTCCTTCTGGTGGGGGCTGTGCTGGAGATAAAAGGGGATCCCAGCATAAGCCTGGGGGTCCCTGGCAGTGGTGAAATGAAACTCAACACGATTTCATTGCTGTGATATTGGAAGAATTACAGCTTGTTGTTCCCTGACTCCTCAACCAGCTGTTGTTAAAAGCACCAACAAGCAGAATGAGGGAGCCCTGACTACCATCTTCCAGGGTAAGGCGACTCAGAAGGAGCAGGGTGGAACGGAGACCCAGAGCCCACGGGAGGGAAGGAGGGAAGGTCCAGCCCCCCAGCACCACCCTGGAGCACAAGGAGCCATCCATGGAGAGGAGCTGGGAAGGGGAATGTGGTGGAAGCAAGGGACAGAGAGGAGGAAAAAAATTAATATACCAAGCATCCCACTGCCTTCTCCCATGATTTCATCAAGAACTGAGTGTTCTCCAAGTCAAGTCAGGACTTGCTTCCTCGGGGAGAAAACAAAACAAAACAAAACAAAACAAAACAAAACAAAAATAAAAACAAAATAAAACAAAAATCCAAGCACCTTCAGTCTATTTTCTTGGCTGGAAGCCGGAGCAAATCCAGCAGATATTTACACAAAGGCCCAGCCATGTATGAGAACAGGATGACCAGCTTCCCGTGGGTCATGGTCATGAGAGTCTGGTGTCCCGAGGCCCAGATGCGATACCAGGGGCCGTAGAATGGGTCTGAGATGGCCGGACACAGCATGTTGTTCAAATTCACTTCGGTGACCTGCAGGGACAAGGGAGGTAGAGTGAGCGTTCGCCATCCCGAGGCTTCCTCTGGCTGCCGCCAGTTCAGCCATCTCTACCTAGGGGGGACTAGACAAGGAGGGATTGACCAATCCCCGCCTGTTCATAAAAGAATTTCTCTGTCCTAGGCTTTCTGAGAGGGTGATGGGTCTGTATCCAGGGCAAAAGCTGATCGGTTTTGCTCAGTCTTGCTTTCCAGTTGGGCCCAGAGTCCATTGCGAATCCTAAGCATTTACTATGTACCTAGCCCCTGGAAAGATATTATGGGATAAAAAAGCCGTTAACATCATGGTCCCTGTCTCCAAGTAGTGGGGACAGTCAGTTGACTGCTTACGACCTCAAAACAGACAGTGCCCACCAAGTTTCACATGCCAGGAGGAGGTCTGAGGAACGTACAGAAGATTTCACAAGGGAAGTGACACCTAAATGGACTCATGAAAGATGGACGTTATGGCAAGGAATGGGTGAGTGGAGTCTTCCTGATGTGAAGTGTGGCAGGAATGTGGCATGTATGGTGACAGGAGCACACTAACACCTCTGGAATCCAGAATATCAGTGGGGAGCAGCAAGACGTAAAGAAGGGTGTGCAGGTCAGAATCATGCTGAGTCCTCCCACAAGCACAGGCAGCATTCACACAGCTAGCAAAGAACTCAGGCTACCTCTGCCAAACCAGAGCAAGGAACACAAAGTGCTTCTACAAAGGCGTTGGGGACATCGGTTACACATCCTCATCATGCAAGGTCGTACGAGGCTCCACATGACTACTGCTACATTAATGTCAACCACACAAAACCAAACATGGCATTCCTGCCCAGAGGATGGTCATAACGCCCGCCTTCCAGAGCCCTCAGAGCTTGCTCACATTAAAGACAAGTCTTCGCCACCTTTCAGGGAGGCTGGGCTTTTGTATCATGTTGCAGTGAGGTGGAAAACTCCTTGTCCTTGAGAGTAAGAAGACCTCTCAGAATAGTGGCTGAGCTAGGACTTGAACTTCGGTCTTCTGACCCTCGCTCCCAGTCTTGAGCTTTTCCTTCTCACTTCACCACCAATATACACTCTTGCAATACCAGCAATATTGGACTCTGGGTAACTCAACACGGAAGCCAGCCATTATCCACATTCCAGGCAGTTTTAAATTCTACAGAATGCCCTGGGGCTCCTAACAGTTCATATCCACTGGCCGGCCACACAGCTGAAGGAAGAATATGATGAAAGACCTGGGAACATGCCCATAATGGACTCAAGATTAGAAGCATCCCCATGGCCCAGAGCCAGGTTAAGGGTCCTGTGTCCCCATGACGTCTACTGCACACCACTTCCAAGTTGCAGCTCACTATTTCAGATCCAAGTAGCCATGAGTGAAGGGTAACCTTGTCTCCCCAGGGATAAAGGAATAGCCATTACAGAAGGATTCAGAAAACTCTTTGGAGAGGCCAAGGCTGTGGATCATAAATCAGCATCCTAGACACAACAATCTGACATCCCAGCCTTTAGCATCTTGTATTTTCCAAACAAAATGATACAACAACACCAACCAGGATTATCAAGATTTACATAGAACTCCAAACAGAGGGGGAAAAAAGGGGATCTAAGCAAACTTACCAGGCCGAGGATCTGCAGGATACTGAAGTGGTAAAAGAACATAAGGCCAGTTGAAAGAAGAGCCCACCGGAAACTGCTGAGGGGCTCTGGAGTGTAAGCACCTGGAAGAAAAGGGGAGATGGTGAGCCTCTAGGAATAGTGGCCCACTTTTCTTCCTCTGCACTCAAGAGTGTAGGTGCGGAGGTCAGGGCCACAGCTGCAGCCTGCTCATTGTCCCTTTTGCCTGTCAATGATAACACCTCCTGAGAGCCTTGATGCTTAGCTAGGTACCACAAGAGCCTTTTCCTGACCCCTGTTTCTGCCCATTGATGCTGGGCCATTAGAAAGAGAAGTTTCTGTTTTCAGTTTAAAAGTAATTGATGCTCATTAAAGGTGATTTAGAATGTGAAAAAGAAAAAAAAAAAAGAGACGACAGAAGAAAAGAGGAAAGAATTCTCAGCACTCTATTACCAGATTAGAACCCTTGCTCATACATGGCTATGCCTCCTTCATCATTTTCTCTATGCCCCAGATTTTTCTTTTTAAAATTAACACTTGGAATCTCACAGTATATGTAATTGTCTTCATGTCTACATTTATTTCCTCGCAATTCTAGATAGTGTCACTGAGCAAGTATGATGTTATAATTGAGAATGTTAGTGTTGACATCTGATTTGGGTTCAAATTTTGACTCTACCACTTATTGGTTGTTTGGCTCTGGAAGAGTCATTGAAACTGTTCCAGTCTTGGTCACTTTCCCGTCAAAGAAGGATGGTCATATCCCCACGGTCTGGCATAACACAAGTGTTCAATGAGTGAGAGATGTTTTCACGGCAATCCTTATGGCTCAGAGAACTTACAAATGTTATATCCAATGGCTGTGCCATTTCTCAACTACTGAATAACTCCTTCACTGTAAGTGATGTCTTTCCCCTCTATTGCTGCTGGGGAACTACCATCTCAGTAGGCCTGGGTGTATTCTAGAGCTTAAAGACCAGGAGCATGGATTGTAGAATGTTCCAGGTCTTTCTGAATGGGGATGTGGAAGAGGTGCTTAAGAAAGGACCCAGAAAACACCATCCCATCCCAAATAAGGTTGACATTACCTCGTGTAGTATTTTCCTAAGTCATTTCTTCATGGCTTCATCCCTTTGTGCAACAGTTATTAAGTGCCTACTAGGTTTTATAACAAGATAAGGTTCCTATGGTTTGAGACGCATAGGCAACAATGACAACACGACTGAACTGGGGGAGGCGGATGGTGGCTGAGATTTGTGCTTTCTGTTATGGGAAGACAAACAGCCTGGAGATGGGGTATAAGGAATGCTTCTTGGAAGAAGGAGCATTAGAACAGAGACCTGAAAGGTAAGTGAGACTTCAGTAGGGACTTCCAAACCTGTACATGGGTAGACACAACTCAGGCAATTTAGAGAAGGTAAGAATTCAGTGAGGGAAGAGTGAGATGGATCAGCAGGTAAAAGTGTGTGCCATGAAAACCTCATGACTCGATCTCTGGGATCCATATAAAAAAGCCAGATTCGGTGGCATATCCACCAAATCCCAGCACTCCTACGTCAAGGTGGGAGGTGAGAAGGGAAGAATCACCTGCAAGCTTGCAGTCTAGCTATCCTGGAGAAGGTAGCACCTCTGCCTCTAAACCAGGTGGAATGAAAGAACCAACTATCAGAAGTTGTTCTCTGACCTCCTTTGGCACATGTGCGCCTCTACTTACACATATATATCACACACAAACACTAATGATAATGGTGAGAATAATATTAATGAAAACTCAAATTACAGAATTCTGTGAGGTCACAAGGAAAGTGTGATGGAAGCAGTGAACAAGGAAAGGGGTGAACAGGGTCAGTCTGTCTCAGGCCGGGCCATGTAGGCATTAGAGCTATACTGAGGGCTTTGTGCTGTGTGGGGGCAACAGGGTGCAAGCTCAGATGTGCCCTATCTTAGCAAAGCCATGGGAAGCAGGAGCATGACCAGGATGGAAGAGATACTTGAGACTGAAAAAGTAGAAAAAAAATCCACAGCCCTTCTAAAGAGTATAACCACCACTTAGGTCTGCCACCCACTGTACTGCAAGTATATGGCTCAAGAAGCACCTGTTTTTTGTTTTTGTTTTTTTTTTCTTTATCAAAGCAAAACTGGAAATATGAACCTTTATGTGGAATTTTCTGATTTTTAAATACTGGCAACTAGGGCTGGGGAAACAGCTCAGTGCTTAAGAGCACTGGTTATTCTTGCAGAGACCCAGGTTCAAATCCCAGGATGCACATGGTGGCTAACAACCATCTGTAACTCCAGTTCCAGGGGATCTGACACCCTCTTCTGTCCTCTGTGGACATTGCATGACACGGGTACACTTACACACATGCAGGTATAACACACATAAAATAATTAGAAAATACTGGCAACTAATTCAAAATGTTTTAAGAATGTACAATGGACCAAACAAAACATGTATTCTGGATAGATTTCAACCCACTGGTGGCTAGCACTGAGCTCTGCGATGGAGCCACTGACAGCAGAAGGAGCTTTGAGACAGATAAGTACTAGGATCACATGAGCCTGTGCAAGGTTACTATGATCAGTGTACAAGGGACAGTCTACAGCAGAGAGAGCCAAGACATGGAGGCTGGCAAGGAAATTACTACAGAAACCTAGAGGACACAATGGATTCTGTAGGAGCAGGAGGGTAGAGAAGAGGGTAGGGGAGAATCAGGAGGGGGCAATATAAGACTAGAGGATAGGGTGAAGGGAAATAAAGGATAGTTTAATCTCCCAGGATCATATGAATAGCTTAGCTATCCCTGGGTTGGTGAAGCCATTTATTGCAATGGAGAAACGCAGAAACATCAGATTGGAACTCAGAGTAGAGAGATGATGAAACCCATCTGAGACATGTTGAAATTGTAGTCTCTGAGGCTGGAGAGATGGTTCAGTAGTTAAGAGCACTGGTTGTTCTTTGAAAGGACCCAGGTTCTAGTCCCAACACCCACATGGTGGCTAACAACCATCCATAACTCCAGTTTCAAGGAATCCAATGCTCTCCTCTGACCTCCATGGGCATTGGATGACATGGGTGCACCTACACACATGCAAGCAATACACTCATACACATAAAATAAAAATAATAAATAAAATATTTTTTAAAAGAAATTGCAGTCTCAGTATCCATATGGACATGTCCTTGCAGTGACTGCATAGATTCAAGGATGCAGAGTGTGATGAATGACGGTGTGGATGCTAAAGCCCAGAAGGTAGTAGTGTTCTTGGCTCTACAGCGTATTGATTTCAGCACCTTGGGAAAATCTCAGTGACTCTTTGACTCCATTTTATACATCTGTAAAATGGCTAAGTACCACCATCTAATTCACAGGGCTGTTAGGCAGATGAGATACTATATATAGTATTTCACCTGGGATTTAACAAATGGTTATTATTTTTATTATGTGAGAGACAAACTCCACAAAAAGGATGAGCTGAGCATATGAAGGCGAGTGACATCAGCACAGAATGGAAAACACAGCCCTGGGATTGTGTGTACACACTGAGAGAAGGAGACCAAAGGCAAGACACCAAGGAACAGTGAAAGAAGGGGAATTGGGCAAGGGAAAAAGAAAAAGATGAAGTGATTGAAGCTAGGGGGATCCTGTGGAGAAGCCCATTTTAGATATGTTGAAACTGTGGTGTCTGTGTCTATGGTTTATGATTTTGTGGGCTGTGTTTCCACCAATCCTTGACTTTGCTCTAGGAACAAGAGGTGGGCTCATGGTACGTTTGAGTCAAAAGGTCCTTTGAGGACATAGATCTCCCCTCCCCCATCTATTTTACAGATGGAGAAACTGAGGCTGGGAGATGGGCACTGTCATTCCTGAAGTCATGATGGCAAGGCACTGGGGAAATAGACTGTCACACACCACCAAGGACTCACTGCTTGATGTTCCCAGTGCCACCTGTTTAGAGTTCCAATACCGAGTAAAATGTCTCTTTCCTGGTCTATCTTCTACCAGGCACATCTGACCTTCTTGTTGTCGTTATTTATTCATTCATTCATTCATTCATTCATCTATTTTTGAGACAGGATCTCATAGTTCAGGCTGGACTCCAACTCCCTATGTAGCCAAGGATGACCATGAACTTCTGATCCTTGCTATCACCTCCCAAATGCTGAGATTACAGGTGTGCACCACTAAGCCTGATTTTATGAGGTGCCTGGGATCAAACCCAGGGCCTCATGCATGTTAGGTAAGCACTCTACCAACTGAGCCACATCCTTAGCTCAGGTCCAACCTTTTCACATTGTGACATGGCATTGTTGTCTACAAAGTTCATACTCAAGAACAAGATAAAGTACCTAAAAATTTATGGTTTTGTATTGGGCTGTGTTCACAGCTGTCTTTGGCCACATGTGGCCCAGGGATTGGACAAGCCTGTAGGACTCAATGTTTATCAAGGACAAGAACACAAAGCCGGGCATGGTGGCGCATGCCTTTAGTCCCAGCACTTGGGAGGCAGAGGCAGGCGGATCTCTGTGAGTTCAAGGCCAGCCTGGTCTACATAGTGAGTTCCAGGACAGCTGAGGCTACAGGGAGACCCTGTAAAAAAAAAAAAAAAAAAAAAAAACCCACAGTGCTTGTTTGGTAACAATGCATTGAGAAATATATTGTGAGTATTTGCATGTGTCTAACTGCTAAATGAGTGTGAACTGGATAGTATGTTGTTTCCCTGGTTTCTGGGAGCACACAGAGGAAGAGGGGACCTGCTCAGGCTGTGGTGCATTCCATTGATAAAGCCTCCAGCCGTCACTCTCCAGCTGTCCCTTCCTTCCTTCTGGCCTCTGCTCAGCACCTCCTAAAGCAGTTGGGCAGCAGTGACACACCTCAGATGCCAGGTGGTAGTGCAGGAATGGACTTGAATGTGCACGTGTCCTCAACTAGTAGTCAGCACAGCAGCCACAGTTCTGGAGATGGACAGGAGGTTGCTTTAAGCACAGGGCAGCCATCTCCTCACTATGCTTCTCTCTTGTCACATCGTGGCCCTTGACCCTGTCATGTTCTGTGCTATGAGGGAAAGGAACTCTCAGACACTACCAGGGGACACATTTCAC